GGTCTTTCTCTTCACTAGACTAGCCATGCCCAGTACCTATAACGGTTCTTCATGTGTTTTAGTCATTTGTTGACCTAATTGGTATTTTTAACTTTGCTTCACATAAAATTTGTAATAATGGCATATTTTTTGTGAAAGCAATGAATAAGGAAGGTAAAATTTTAGTTACTGGAGACAAATGTTTCCAAGAATAACTGATACTTAAGATCAAGGAAGCATCTTTGTTGATCCACAGATCAGATGGGTCATCAATGACAAGCAGTTTGAAGATGTGTTAGTGGGGCCAGTGAAAATTGCTTGGAAAGCAATGGGTTTCATTGAGTTTTCTTGGCATCCATCTACAGAGCACCAACTCCATTCAGCTGGTTGACAAGCTTACAGCATACAAGACCAGTGCAAGATGTAACTGAAGATTCATATTCTGCATTCACACTTGGAATTCTTTCCCAAAGGGTTAGGGGCAATCAGTTTCCCCAGAACATTGCCATAATGGAAAAACAGTATCAGGGCCACTGGAAATCATCAATGCCGACTGACTGTTGTTTGGATACTGCAGCTAGAAACATCTGACACTGACTACAAATGAAAATAGGCAGTAAATCACTTTTGGTTCTGTTGGACTCACTCAGCATGTTAGAAACATAATATGAATAAATACATTGTAGTTATTAAAAGTGAATGTCTTTTTTTTAAAAAAAATTCCTGTGACATGGTCATTCTGAAATTAGATTCCTTTATACTAAATGCAAATATATCATAATCAATGCTTTTTCAGGAAGCAAAACTTTTGAAAAAATTTGTCTCCAGAGATATTCCAAGAGAATAAACAGCCTGATTAGCACAATCAATATGCGTATTTTTCAGTGTATAAGGCATATTTTCCCCCTAAAAGTGAGTGAAAATGTCTGTGCGTCATACAGTGAATGTTGCGGAAGCCCCGTCGCCGCCACTTCACTCTTTGGCTTCTGCCTCCCAGCAATTTGCCTCCTTGCAGCAAACAGCCTGGTCAGCTTTAGCACAGCCTGATTAGCACAAGCAGCTGATTGTTAGTAGGAATCGGCCTCCTGACAGTCAGCTGTTTCAGGCTGCAGGGATTGCCATCACCTATTGCCATCTTCGTGTGCCCCATTTTCGGTTTCTGCATCCTGTTTTCAGCTTCCACGCCCTGTTTTCAGCCTCTGCATGCCCTGTTTTCAGCCTGTTCTGGGCAGCGGGAATCAGAATGGGTGGAAAATGGGGTGCGCAGAGGCCAAAAAATGGATGTGGAGGTGAAAATGGAACACGTGGCAGTGGCAATAGGCGATGGCTGTTTTCTGCAGGGAGGCAAATTGCGGGGAGGCAGAGGCAGATTTTTTTTCTTTGGTTTCCTTCCCAAAAGCTAAGTGTGTCTTATACTTCGGAGCGTCTTAGACTCCAAAAAAATACAGTAATTCTCCATTCGATCCAATAGAGGAGAACTAATATTAAGTGAATTAAAGAATGATAAATAAGAGAATTTGAGATTCACACCAGTTTGTGGCATTGATATATACACAGCAATTTCATGTATAGGCTTACTTCAAAAGACTTTATTTTTCTGTGTAATCCAAACTTGGCAACTTTAAGACTTGTGGACTTCAACTCTCAGAATTCTCCAACCAGCATAGTCCACAAGTCTTAAAGTTGCCAAATTTGGAGACCCCTGGTGTAATACGTTATATCGATTGAAATGGGTATTTTATCAAGCATCTTATGCCTCATTTTGGACTTAAAATCCTTTTTTTTTTTTTGAAAGAAAGTCTTTTGTCTGATGTGAAAATGGTGTGTGTCTGATGTGACTCTACTGGTAGTCAACAATAGAAAGGGATTTTGGTTTATTTTTTTAGCTAAGTGATTAATAGCTCTCAGTGTTTAGAATAGATATCTCCAACCTGGGGTTACGTGTGTCTCTGGACAGCTAGTCTTGTAGCACACAAGATTGTAAACTTTAATATTGTTATGTGATTTATATATATTAACTATATTATATGTATATTTTATAAGTGGCCCAAGACAATTCCTCTTCATTCTGTGAGGCCCAAGCAAACCAAAAGTTTGGACATCCATGACTTAGAATATCTACAAACCTTTTTATGAGTGTTCTTTTTTAAAGTCTGCATTTATTCATTTAATCTCATACTGAAATTATTTATATTCAGATAAATATATTATCAAACTGCCAATAAATATTTTAAAGGGATTTGCTGACTAAATTTGTGTCACTGGCATTGTATACAAACATGTTTTCTGTCTTGTTATATCCCTACTCTAGAAATGCTGTTTTTTTTCTTACAGAGTCTCATAAACTTTTTAAGATGTGTGCAAAATTTGCATCATTTAACAGCTGTGTGCTGTCTTTGCTCTTTCTTTGCCCTCTCTGTTTTAAATCATGTCAATTGAGCTAAGTATTGCTCAACTGTGCTTTTGTTTTCTCTATATAGAGAACCCACTATCCTTCATTACTGGAATGTATAATAAGTAGCTTTTTGTAGAAATTACTGTACTATTCTAAATGTGATTTAAAAATAAATAACAGAAACTTTTTTTTAGTTAGTATATTTTCAGTTTAGCAAGACCACGCTGAAATGCTATTCTTCTCTTTCAGTTTTGCTATCCACCTATGGTTCATCATATTGAAAACTATTTTTAAAAATTATTAATTATTTAATTTGTTTAAAATTATTTAAATTATTTGAAATATTTAATTTTAATATTTTAGTTTTTAATATTTTAGTTTTAATTATTAGTTTTCATTTCTCCTGATCTCCAATCTGAAGCAGGTACAAAGGTGCAGAGAATGAAATCAAATAGCAAGTGAAAGTCTTCTTTGAGAAGAGCTGGTCTTTCAATGACAGGAATGAGGGGGTTAAAACTGAGAAAGGTTACATCAGCAGATGGGAAAAGTTGTTACAGGAAGTCCTTGATTTACGACTACAACTGAGCCCCCAATTTCTGTTTCTAAGCAGTTACTGAGTTTTGCCCCATTTTATGACCTTTCTTGCCACATGTGTTAAGTGAATCACTGCAGTTGTTAAGTTAATAACACGATTATTAAGTGAATCTGACTTCCCCATTGTGGAACACAGCAACCATTATAAGTATGAATCAGTTGTCAAGCAACTGAATTTTGATCACGTGACTATCGGGATGCTTCAATGCCCGTAAGCGTGAAAATCATAATTCACTTTTTTCAGTGCAGTTGTAACTTCAGAGGGTCACTGAGGACCACCTATACAGACTTTTTTTTTTTAAATGATTCTTAGCTTTTTATGAAACCAAACTGGGGAAAAGACATTGAAAAGTGTCAAAGAATTCCCCCCACCTTAATAACATCATTAATAAAGGAGGGTTATCTATTGTCAAGATTATGTCTTTTAATCCTTAATTCTTGACCTTAATACCAGCTAAAATCCATATGAATCTTGCTTCCTAAATCATGCTCTTCAGTTAAAGGAGTTGACAAATAGAGCAGGGGTTTTCCATTGCCACCTTCTGGGAAGTCACCATCATCAGGCCTGTTTAGTTTCAGATAATGTCGGGCAGATGCTGCCACCTGCTGGGATGAAGTGAAAGCACAAGGTATCAGTTGAAGTATTGGCACTTCTATCAATGGAAGGCAGAATTTTTTTTAAGGATTAACAGTGCTTGAGCAATAAAATATAGATATAAAATCAACCAAGTATCCCTGGTTCTAAAAAAAATTGTTGGAAGATTTAATTGTTAATAGCATTTTTTATAAAATAAGCTCATACTGTAGTCAGAAAATAATATTTTGTTCATGACCACTAACTTAATTAAAAGTAGTTTTATATTGATGAGGCAATTGTTGAAAATCAGAAACAAAAATAATTTGCATAGTTAATAGCACGTCATCAATTTTTAAACCTTCCTATTTTTTTAAATATTTGTGTCAATATTAATGTAATACATTAATATTATTCAGTGTATAAAGATTTCAAATGTCACCAACTTTTTTTTTCCACTAGGGGACACATTTGGAATTTTGAGAATATATTATGGACCGTCACAAAATAATTGGTGTGGTAGAATGGCCAATCTCCAAATGCCCAGAGCAGAGAGCAACACTCTCGTTATCAGACATTTTATTTTCTGTGAATCTTTTTAGGTTCATTATGGGGCTTACAGGCACTAGGCAGCCAGAGAGTTTGCCAAGGAATTTGTAGATACACAAATGGCATCTGGATATCAGAGCACTTGGTTTTAGAGATAGGAGAAATCTCTCTATTAACTTCCATACTTAAGGGCAGCTTTGAATCCAAGACTTTAATTTTTGTCAATTATGCTAACATAACTATGGAATTTCAACTAATAGCTACACATCTATTCTTAGCTTTGAGCAATTCTGTGCATTACCCATCAAAACAAATCCTATTAAATTCATTTGTATAATATAATATACATGATTTTTTTCTAGTAACTATATAATAATTACAAATAATAAGCTAATTAATAGTATCCAGTTATTTTGAATTTCATTTTTTATTATCTCTTAATCAATATAACAAAGTATATTTAAAAACTGTATTACCTATACCTATCTGAAGGAACAAGTTCTCTCTTGCTGTTTTATTTACTGTAAAAATAAAAGTTTTTTTATTGTTATCTTATTTTTTTTGTCTATCTTATATACAACATTGTATAGCTTTGCTTTGTCACATAAACAAAGTTTTGGACATTTATGCCAGAAGAACATCCAGCTTATTAGAACAGACCATGTGCAATATTTTAATATTACATGTGGACAAATATTTAAAAAAAAACAATTTAATTTTAATTGGATTCTTTGTTCTATGCACACAAAAGATTGCCTTAATAAAGAGGGTGGTTTGTTTGAAAACCTATGTGGGCACATATATGCCTGAAAAATTCTTTAGATACTGATTCCCATGCCACATTTTAAATGATGTTTGCAGCTTTAAGTAGTTCTCCATTTGTTTACAAATTTATCTTAAATCATCTAGGAAGAAAAATGTCTGTTTCCTGTCATTTAAAGGAATTTTCATGGAGTAAATCAGAAGGATCTTTGGTTGACTTGGCGGATGGAAGCCTTACAAGAAATGATTTGTATGGTATGTAATTGACAGCTGTACTGTTTGTGGTATATAATTGACAGCTGTACTATTTGTGCAGAAAATGTAATTTGCTGTTGAATTTTAAAAAGAAAATAAGTATTCTGCTATCAAAGAAAAATGGAAAAGAATGGAATTCCTTATATGTGATTTTGTTCTAGCTATTGCTTTTTTAAAAAATGTTAAATGTGGTTCTAGGGAAAAGTATTTATCACAATATCACATTCCGAGGGACAATGGTTTGATTTTCTGAAGATACATTATATAAGTAGTAATGGTGGTAAAGTTGATGTTTTAGCTAGATTTTTCAGTATTGGTGAGAATTTTGGATAACTTCTCCTTTGGCATGAATCTTTTGACCACAGTGAAGAGAGACAAATATAATTCATGTTTTTTTTTCTTTTAAAATACAAAGAAATAAAAATTGTCAAGAGTATTTAGAAAATAAATGTATAGAGAAGGATCAGAATGAATAATTCCACTATGAAGAACAATTGTAATAGTTTGGAGTTTTTAGTATTAAAAATGATAAAAATAAAAATTTTATTATTTAGTATTTTAAAAAAATAATGTTAAAAAGCCTCCTATATATTCATTTCGCTTTCTGGTGATTTCATGGATACATCAATGTAGCTTTCTTGGCAGAAGTACACAAGGTGATTGCAACTACCTTTTGGATTTTTTTAATTTCCTAATCTTTCTGGTAGTCTCTTATTCATATTATTACCAGTAGTACATGTAGTCCTCAATTTATGATTATAATGGAGTATAGCAGTTGAAGCACTCTTGTAACCAGACATAATTTTATGACTATTTCTAGCAGCAGTTGTTCAGGAAACACCATAGTCATTAAGTGAATGTCATGGCCATTAAGGAAACCAATGCATTCCTATGGACTTTTTTTTTTTTTTTTGCCAGAAACTAGCAAAAAATGTCATCAATTATATTCATGTGACAGCAGAATGCTGCAACCAGCCATAAAGGTGAACCAAGCATCCAAAATGTGGTCATGTGACTCTGGTAATGTGTGCAGATGTCAAAACTTCAGAACACGGTCATAAGTGTCGCTGGAGATTCTCAATCATCCAGTTCATGGTTGTCCCAATGGTACTTTTTCCAATGTTCCTTCCTTCCTACCTTCTTTCCGGTCTGGTATGTGGTCTGGTATGTCCATCCAAGAAGCCTCTTCTTCAGTTCTAACTCTAAGTTAGAAATGAAAAATCTTGGATGAGAAGCAAAATATTTTTTGAACAAAAAAAAGGAAGTCCAGTTATCTTTCGGGATAAGCACTTTTGGGACAACAGGGCCATAAGTAGCTTTGAGGGGCAAATCTGTTACAACACTGAGTTGTTACTAAGTGAAGAGTCGTAAGTTGAGGACTACCTGTTGTCTCTTATTCAAGCTATTTACCAGAGCTAGTATTCTGAACTTTTAAATACAGATAAATTCAGACATCTCCTATTGAGACAATCAAGATAAAGATAAGACATAAGAATTTATTTATCATTACACTCGCAAGCGGGTGCAACGAAATGAGGTGCTCTTCCACAAGCAAACTGGACAAACACCACTAAAAAAGAAAGAAAAAGAAAAAAATTAAACTAAACACAACCAACCATACAATAATCTCTATACAATTTAAAAATGTAAATACCCCACTACTCTCAGCCATTAAACTCCACAAAAATCTTATGACCCCGCATTCAAACTCAAAACTGCACTTGGATAAAAACTGTTCTTAAATCTGGTCGTCCTTGTTCTTAATACTCTAAATCTCCTTCTCGATGGTAATAGTTCAAAGAGCTGATGTCCCGGATGAGAGGAGTCATTCAAAATGTTAAGTATCTTCCTCCTACATCTATTCCTATACAGTTCTTCCAAAGAGGGGAATGAGCAGCCAATGATGTTTTGGGCCGTCTTGATCACCCTCTGAATTGCCTTTTTCTCTGCCACTGTGCAGCTCAAGAACCATACACAGAGACAGTAGGATAATATACTCTCAATTGAACTCCGATAGAAGGTAGTCAATAGACTCTCAGCCAGTTGTTGTTTCCTAAGAATCCTTAGTAAATTCAACCGTTGTTGTGCCTTCTTAATTAAAGCAGCGGTGTTTGCACTCCAGGTCAGGTCATTTGTAATGATGGTCCCGAGAAACTTACATTCAACCACCTGTTCCACACGAACTCCCTCTATATACAGTGGCTGAATGTCTGCTCTTTTTTTTTCTATAGTCCACTATAACCTCCTTAGTCTTCTTAATATTAAATAGAAGATTATTATTTTTGCACCAGCGGGATAGCTGTGATACCTCATCCCGATATGCAGACTCATCATCCCCAGAAATGAATCCTACAAGCGTAGTATCGTCTGCAAATTTCATTATCCTATTGTTGGGATGTTTATTTGTGCAATCAGATGAATAGATGGAGAACAGTAGTGGACTAAGGACACAACCTTGTGGAGTGCCAATGCTAAGTGTCTTGACAGTAGAAGTATAATCATTCAGTTTAACTCTTTGTGGACGATTTGTTAAAAAATCCAATATCCATAAACAAATAGAATCTGGAAAATCTAGATCTTTGAGCTTGGCTATTAATCTGTGCGGTATGATGGTATTGAAAGCAGAACTAAAGTCTGCGAACAACATTCTTACATAATTCCCCGGTGTTTCCAAATGGGATAAGGCCATGTGAAGCACAGTAATAATTGCATCCTCGATTGATCTATTTTCTTTGTAAGCAAACAAGCCCATCAAAGGAATCGGGAAGGCAGGAGATAATATAATTTCGAACTAGCTGCTCAAAGCACTTCATTAAGATGGAAGTTAGTGCCACCGGCCTATAGATATATATAATATTATAAATGGGGTGGTAAAAGTGGCAAGTTCACCCACTTTGGTTTTATAATTTGAAAATTTGGAATCATTCCATGAAGCTAGTCAATTCCATTATATAAAATAGAATATTAAGCAATATCAGTGGGTTATTCTCCATTCCAAAGTCAACAAAGCAAGTAACATGATTACAAACTCTAATTTCTGGAAAAATTCACTAATTCATAAGATTATATGTCTGGGGAGAGAACATCTTAATAGGGATCCCATCCCTGCAAGAGAAGAATAGTGAATTGAAAACATATATTTGTAAACCTTCTCTAGAAATTCCAAGGCAAAAGCTAAATTCAAGTTAGGCCCTGTCATTTATCTTATAGGACATAGAAATTTAAGACAGGTGCATGGCTATATAAAAAAAAGTGAAATTATGAGCTGGTATTATTAGTGCTATCTCACATGAGTAATATATATCCCAAGGGCTACAACAGTGCATTTTTATACTAATCTACAGCTTTGCTCAGTGGTACCTGGTCAGATAAACTGTTAGGCATCAGGATAAATAACATCCATCAGTATTTATAGACTGTCTCATTGACCATTGAAGAACCTTGAAGCCTACACCAATTTGAAGAAGATAACAATTTCATCTTAAAAATATTAACTATTTACTCTAATTTAGTCCAATTGTATTCTAGGGAAATTTACTCCAAGGAAAATGTAGAACTACATTCTATACTTTCTCAGTTGCTATTTTGCAGTCAGTCTGGGAGTAGTAAATTCTTTTAAAATAACTTCTGAACAATGGCCACACTACATTTAATATATTTAAATTTTAAATAGAACCTGAAGTAAATCATAATTTTCCAGATGGACACAAATTCTTAGTTAAAAATGAGTTAGATGGATAAATGTATACTTGTTTTCTTCCACTTTATTCTAGATATATTAAAATGAATTGAGATGAGAATTTACATTTCACTTTTTCTCTCTCTTTCCAAAAAACAGACAATCAGGAAAATGGATTGCATCTTAAATCACACTGGACTGGAGAATTTAAGCAAGATGCCCCTGGTGGATTTAAGACAAATCCGTTTTGGAAGGAACTGTCAGCATCTAATCCATTTTTAGATGACATAGCTGAATCATGCAACAAAGAAAAAAACAATAGACGGGTATCTATCTTGAAAGAAGATCGAGATTTATTTTTTAGAGATTCAAATGGTAGGGATTCTGCTGCTTCATCAGGAGATGAATTAAATATTGAATACCTTTTTTGTCGCAAACCTTCTAAAAGATCTGCAAAATCTAGGAGTGTTTCAGATCTTTTGGATATTATAGATGTAAGATGTGAATTTTCTAATACAGAACCATCCAGTTATATCTTACCTCCAGAAAATGAAGCATTTCAGAATCAACGTGAAGCCTATAAGACAGCTTGGTTGAACCAACGACAACTGGCCCGATCTTGCCTGGATTTGAATGTGATAAATCAGGGTCCTGGATGGGCACAGACCCAATCTATAGAAACCCACATAGTCTGCAAAGTGAATTGTGAGGGTGGTTCGGTGCAGCTTCCTGACTCAGATATTGCTATTCATTTCCCTGAAGGTCATGTGGCACTTGGAGAATTCCAAGAAGTTGGCCTGCAGGCAATCCTTGATTCTCCACCGACACTTAATTATGAGTTTTCAACTACCTTGACTCCTTTGATTAAACTTACTTTGAGCAACCTTAATACTACTGAAGCTATTTTACTAGAGATGAAAATTGCAGCTGAAATAAAAAAGGATCCTTTTAGTCAGGTAATGACTGAAATTGTTTGTCTGTGTAGTTGCAATAAGGAAGGGCCATTTGAAAAAATAAACAATTGTTACATTTATAAAGATACTATACAAGTGAAACTAACAGACCTTAGTCACTTGATGTATATTGTTGTTGTAGCTCAAACAAATACAGTTAATTCTCTTGTAAGTGTTTGGGAATATATCCACAGAAAACTTTCAGTTGGGATTTATGGGCCAAAACATATCCATCCGTCTTTCACTGTTGTGTTTGCTTTGTTTTATCACAACTATGTTCCTGAGAAGCTAACAGTATGTGACATTAAAAGGGGAGGAAAGAGCTTGCCCCCAGTTATTTTCCAGCTCTGGGGGAAACACACATTTTTACTGGAGAAACTGCAAGATCTCAGCATTTCTGTTGTCTCCTGTGACCCAGATTTTGAAGTGAAGGAAGAAGAACAAAGGAAAGAAATTAAAGAAGAAAAATTGAAAGGAGGTGGTGGAGTAATTCACCGACACTTTCCATTTTCTATAATCTGCAATAGGAAAATACATATTTTTGTCTTCCGTGTTCAAATCAAAGCCCCAGAAAATAACCTGGCATGCCAGTTTTACATTACAACACCTGAACCACCTCCTAAGTTATTAATGAGCATAACTAACAAGCCAAACCGAATTGAAAAACGCAAGGAAATAAAATCTGCACCATTATTATTATTACCCACCATAAAATATCCTACTTTTCAAGACAAGGTTTTAAATATTACCCGCTATGGTACAGCACTCAAAACAGTGTTACGTCAAAGTAAAATTGACTATTTATTAGAATATTTTAAAGGCGATACAATAGGAATACTTGGAGAAGATAAGGTCAAAGCCATTGGACAAACAAAAATTAAGGAATGGTATGTAGGTGTTCTTAGAAGAAAAGTTGGCCTTGTACACTGCAAAAATATCAAAGTGATAACTGAAAATCAAATTATCAATGTTGAAGATAGTGAAATCATGACCAGTAGTCTCCTTGAACAAATTGCATTGCCTTTTAAAAAATTGACTTACATCTATTCAACAATCTTATCCACAGTATCAGAGAACTTAAATGATTGGAAAGCTTTGGCTGATGCTCTTCAATTTTCAGATTTGTCCCAATATGATTTAAAGGCATTACAAGTTGAAAAGGAGTTTGAAAAAGTAGCGTATATTATGAAGAAGCTTAAAGAAATTTGCCATACTCAGAGAAGCACAAGACGATTCCTATATGAACTCTCTGTGGTAAGTACTGTTGGGATGGACTGTCAGATAAGGAGAAGCAAATAAGACATAAGTCTTTAACATAACTTGTTATGATATTGACCTTCCTATTTTAGCTCAGAACCTGTGAGTTCGATGGCAGTGATGGTTTTAAATTTGAAAGATTGTCTTGGATGAGCAGCAGCTGGAATGCAACTTAAAAGAAACTTCTGGCTTGGTACTTCATTTTCACCATCTGTGTTTATAGGTTTGTTTGGATTATAATGAAGTCGTTTTAAACAAAGCTGAATGTGAAAATACTAGTATTTTGAAACTCTTGTCCTTTTAATCCCCTTTCTTCCAATAGACACATTCACATCCAGCATTAAATCAAATTGGACTTCCTGCTAATCAGGTGATGATAATGGGTATATAGTATCAAATGGTGAATGTAGCGTCTTCTTGCAGTGGCTTAAAGCAGCTGCATTTCAAAACCGAAATAAAAGAAATAGCTACTATAAGGAATTACAGGCAGGTACTGAGTTTGCACTTCAGTATATCTTGAACTCATGGTCACTCATGTTTTGGTCACTTCCTAGTTGGACTATTACAACACACACTGCAATACACAGTAACAGCCTTAAAGATCACCCAGAAGTTACAACTGGTCCAGAATGAGGTAGCATGTTCCCATAGATCTGCCCAGCTCTGTGTCATGAGCTGCACTGCTTCCCAGTTTTTTTTCCAGGTGCAATTTAAGCAGCTGCTTATTACCTTTAAAACCTGCAAGAAAAATGGGGTTCTGTAATATCCCTAATATTTTGTAACTATAAGAAAGACAGAAGGAAAAAATCAGGAAGGCAGGAAGAAGAAATGAAGAGGGCCAAGTTTTACAAAAGAAATAAGAAATCTGTGCTTGTTAGCAAAGTTACACAAGCCATATAGCTTAAAAGTAACAAGCACCGCTTTTGTCATCGTCAAGGGATACCAAAGGAATTCTCATTAATTCTCTACAGATATAAGCAATCGCTTAACAGGAAACACATTTTATCTCATAACTTTCATTCTTTAAGAATGTGTCATCCTTTTAATTAGATGAACAATCAAACTAAATCATATTTATTTTAAAAATGGGAGTATTTTAAGATAGTACATTTCTAATAAATATAACGGAATGTTTTCATATTATAATTGGCAAGGTTCAATTGCTTCTACTTTTTCTCTCAACCCATAGGAATGAATAAGCAGAACACAGTTAATCATGGCATACAAGCCATGATCCATGGCATCTGTCTGTCAAATAAGATGTGACATGGATATAAACCATGGTATTCAACTCTTTGGAGGACAGGACAGGATATTTAGATGCAAACAATACACTAAACTATGAAAATACCTTCCCCAATCTGTTTAACCCAATTCCGAGGTCAATAAGAACCAAGCAAGATATCTGAGTCAATTGGGCCAAGATATTGGACTGTGAACGGGAAGATTCAGATTGGAGGCTGCCTCTGGCTACTTAACCTTACTTTATTACTTTGATCTTTGATCTTCTTTTCTGCTCAGTCTATCTTGTAGGGTTATATTGAAGGGAAAAAGGGGACTTAGGGTACACAGTTTTCCCTGCACATCTGTGGATAATATAAAACTAACACAGAAATGAATTTTAATTAATCATAATGCATAAGTTATGTCTATGTAACTAACAGTGCTATTTTCTGTGTTAATGGAGCAGTAATATTGGAAATCATTTGGCCTGGAGCTTTCCAATATGTCCAGAAAATGGAGAGGGAGAAAGAGAGAAACTCTTATATTTCTGTTGTCTGAAATCTCACAAAAATTGTTTTCAATCTCTAGACCTGTTTTCTATTTTAAAAATCCCAGATTCATAAATAGTATTAGAAAAATAACTATTCTATATGGTAAAAAAATACAATTCTTCCTTAGTTATGCTTCCGAACAGTTACATTATAATTGTACTATAATTATTTGTTATTAAAAACTGTTTGAAAACATAGGCATCACATTTATGCTTCCAGGCACTTTTAAGGCTAGACTGCCAAGGATTAGTAGCCCGTATTATCCAGGATACAGTTATTTTTACTGCAGCAGTAAAACTTGGGAAGAACTGGAGAGAGTTAGCAGAAAAATTAGCACGACTTACAAAACAACAAATTGATGCATATGAAACTCCCCATCATAGCAAAAGTGGAGAAGTTGCTCCAGAGGTAAGTCTCACAATATTTCTATTGTATTCATTTCCTATAAAAGTTACAATCCTTCTTTAAACTAAACATTCTCACTGTAAGAGAAACTTGAGTAAAGGAGTCAACTTTTCATGGTAAATTCACAGGTTTCCTTGATCCCTTTATTACAGTATCTACAATACAGTAAATTTTTGATCTCACTATTAACAGTATCTGTGGTTAAATAAAAACAAGTGTTGAAAAGAGATAAAAACTGTCCAGCACTTTTGATAGAGGTAAGAAAGTACATTGTGTATACAGTGAGCATACCCTTTCTTTCAGAATGCTTTTCTTCAACTGTAAACAGCTATCAAATACTCCTGAATTTTTACTTTAGAAATTACTAGGCAATACTAGGCTGTTGGGTCATCCTTTCCATTTATATTTATATGTATCCCATATATTTTCTTTTCTAAAGAGATAAATACAAAGACCATAAGAGGGCAAAAAAGCAGCGGGTGCCCTTGTGACTTCAGATTTCCTGCTCACTTCCCCATTGACCTTATTTGTGGGAAGCTGGCAGGGAGCACCAGAAATCATGATCATGTGACTGCAGTTACTTGTGGTGAACTGCAGCGGCCACAATTTTGTGAGTGTTGTGGAAGACCCTTGAAATTTCAGTTACACAGGACTTAATGTGTCCTGGATTTTGTAAACATTCTTTAACTTGAATTTGAGGTACCTTGATTCAAAAAATGTTGCACTTTGATGTACTGCCTGGCCTAATTGAAGGTTACAAACAGACAAGAGAGTTTTAATACTTTTTAGATAACATTATTTGGAATGCTACTGCTCATCACCCTGATTGAAGGGATTGACATAACCCATACAAATCCTAGGTGACTGACAAAATGGATGGTTTAAGTAACATTGGTTAAATTTCAACAATACGGTTATTTTTAATTTTGATAACCCAGTTATTTTTCTTTTTTCTCCATGTAAAATACCTCTTGTCTTCTCATTTAATTCTTAGAATATAGTGTATCATTTCTTCTCTTTACAGTTTTCTATATCTGTAGAAATTCCTAAAATTCTTCAGCTTTAGTATAAATTTAAGATAATTCTTTGCATTCAAATTTTTACTGTGGTAAATCTTTTTGTAAAATCATAGAGTTGAGGTGGCATGTAAATATTGAATCCAATCCTTTGCTCTGTCATGGAAATTAAAGCATCAGTGACAGCTATAATTTAAATTATAATAATGCATGAATAAAAAAAATTGTTTTCAGTTCCTAGTTTGCTTGGATCCAGATTAAGGCTGGAGACTCATATTAAATATGTATTGGATTGAATCTCAAGGTGTCAGTTTCTGCAGATATAATATGTGCATAATTCTGTTATTTGAATCAATGTGTAAAAAGCATTATGGCTTAATTTTAAGAATGCATGAAGTTATGTATACATTCCACCCACTCTCCACTCATAATAATTTCATACCTTTGATAATTGTAGTTACCAATAAATAATTATTCTGTAAAATATACTAGATATTAGTATAATATTATGTATAAAGAATTTTTATTTTGTATCTGGTATACTTTTAATGAAGTTTATCTAAAGTAATAACAATTTTAAAAGGCAGTATAAAACATTGAAAAGCCATGAAATCATAAAAATATAAAGGATCAGCAAAAATACTAGATAGCTTAATCATGGTTAAGTGCCAGGAATTGTGCATGATGCACAATGTACAATGAGAAGCACACACTGCATCCTGCCACATTGTATTCTGATTTAGCCTGTTTTTGTTTTGAAATTGCAATGAATGCAGAATACACTTGCTGGATTTCGTCACTAGAATTAGGGATGCTGATGGGATTATTTATGTAATGTGCTGTCTCTTCTAGCTCCCAGTTTGGGTTTGCTGTGTTATTTGCACTGGTTATCCCTATATTTCTGGGTCCAAATAAAAATACCACTTTGATGCTTAAAGCCCTTTTTAGGGTGGGACCATGGTATTTGAAGGCCTGCCTATGTCTGAGTATATTCTCTTAAATATTTAGCTTATTGTGTGTACATATTTTAAGCTGTGTTGTTGCCTATATTTTCCAATAGGGTTATTAAGGTAGTTAAACCACTACAATTGGACTGCTTTTTTAAAAAAATGTTTTTCTATTTGTCTGTGCTATTTTTAGCCAATCTAATATGTAAAAACAAAAATCAATAGTTAATTTCCTTTCTCAAATGTGTATAGATGCTGAAATACTCCTATAACTATATATTTTCAGTTTGGAATGGGTTCATGTGTTTACATTGGGAATAAAGAAAATACAGTTTTGCATTGCCTGTGTCTCCCCTTTTCCTTATTTGGCTTTCCTTATTCCTACCTGAACTACTTGGGGGAAAAAAATCTTAGTTTTCATTTGTACTGGATCAGGGGTCCTCATCTCCTGATCCATGACCAGCACCAGTCTGTGGCTTGCCAGAAACCAGGGTGTGCAAACAAGTGAAGCCCCATCTGCAGGGTGCAGGCAACATGCGAAACCAGGCCCCTCCATTCTGCGGAAAAACCTCTCTCCAAGTTATTGGTCCCTGGTTGGGGCCCGATTTACTAAATGTTAATAAATGGGAAGAAAATGAGTGGCTAAACTAGAGATTCCTAAAAGGCAGATGAATGGATGACAGATAAAAATCTAGTATATTTTGTTCCATTTACCCATGGATTTTAGGTCTTTTGTTCAAAAAAATAGTCACAGTTTCCTTTGATAGTTCTTTTTGCTTCTCATAATAGGTTTGCATAAACAAGAATAATATCCTATTCAATGTTAAATTGATATTAGTCTAGCAGATGATGTTCACACTTTTTAAAGAAAGATTTTAATTACAGGTATAAAAACATTCAATATATACTACAAAAAAGCTTTCTAAGATAATTTGCAAATATTTTTAAAGTCTCATATAAATTTTAAACAAATTAAAATAAAATAAGTATTTCTTAGAAATGACAAAATTTGAGATATACAGTTAATTTTAAAGCTGTTTGACTAAGTTAATAGCACATTAAACGGTTTGGGAGGATATAAGTTTAGGTATCAAGATGAAATTGTTGTTATGTATCCCTCTCTAGGGAGCTGAAAACAGATCCTGATCTCATTTTGGAGAAATTCACTAATTGAATTGTGTAGGAAAATTTTAACATACATTGATCAGTGATCATATTTGGAACTAAGATGCTTTAATATCCATGATTCATGGAGTTGTAAAAATCTTGGTTATATAGCTGAGTGGAATTTAGTATAAAAGCAAGATAGTTGATTGTGTTTTTTGATATTCTGCACAGAAGACCAGGTGTATATATGAAAAAAGACAGTGGGCAGACACAATTCAGTATCTGACTGCAAGTGTTTGTATGCAGTTTTATCCATTTGTTATTGAACTGTTTTGCATCTAAACATGATTTTGTTAAATTTCAGATGATGTGGAAACCAGCTTATGATTTTCTCTATACCTGGAGTGCTCATTATGGAGACAGCTACAGAGATATGTTGCAAGACCTGCATTTAGCTTTGGATAAAATGAAAAACCCTATGACCAAACAATGGAGAGAAATAACTGGAGCTCTGATCCTGGTCAATTGCATGGAGGTTCTCCGGGCCAGTGCTTTCTCCATGTTGGATGAAGAATAAAATTCATTTTCAAATTTAGAAATATATTCTACAACCAGTCTTCTTGGAATATTAAACAGGAACATTTTCACCAAGGAACATTTAGAATCTTTGTGAAAATTAATTCCTATAATGTATTCCTTTAACTTGAAAAAAATTGAGTCATTAATTTTCAAGCACCAGCAATTTTACCTCATTTTTATTTAAAGCGATTTAGTAAACATTTGCTGCATGATTTGAGCAGAATTCTGAAAGAGTGCAGAATACTGTATTCAGGGGAGGAAACACAACACTGATGCTATGAAGCAAGTTATGTTGCTAGGGAAAAAATACTTTTTCTTAGAAATTGAGTCATAGAGCTGTATTCTCAATTCTATCAATAATACATACATTCATGTATATATGTTGCTCTATAATAGACGATGTGTTTATAGTTCTATATAAATATATTTAAGATTGCAGCTCCCAGGATTCCCAGTCCCCATAATCAACCGCATTGAAAAGTGTTTCTCAACCATGGGAAATTTAAGTTGTGTGGATTTGAACTTTCAGCCATGCTAGCTGGGGAATTCTGAGAGTTCAAGTCCGCACGTCTTAAAAGTTGTCAAGTTTAAGAAACTCAGATATAGAACCAGGAGACAAATTTGGGAAAGGTGCTTTATGATAATCAAACACACTATTTCATTGTATGTATTAATTGAATATATTCCCTTGGATACAGTATTAACTTGGCTATTGATTTCCAGTAGAAGTTAGGCACTGAGCCATGTATCTCTATAAACTGACTCATGATTTTCTTAATGGGAGCTAAGCATGAGATACTGTAAAGACCATGTAAATTCAAGAAAGCCTTCACTAATTCAACTATTTGTAATCTGCCTGCAGAAATACCAACTCCCTGTAATTATGTACAGGTTTATCTTGATTTAGAGCATTTAATGACACTTGTTTTCCTATCAACCTGCATGTGGGCTTTTTTGGGAATTTTCATTCCTAGAAAATTAGAAATGTATCATCATATCTTTGTGGTTATCCCATCTGTTATTTAGGTATAACATCAGTGTTGTGTAAGATTGGTCATATTTCTAGGTAGGTTTTTTTTCTTGTTCGTGGGCAGGATGATTCTTCTAATGAAAGCTGCTTTTTGGCAGAAAAATCATGACATAAATGCTTGTTTTTTTAAATTTGAAACATAGGAATTCCAAAATTCATATTATATACCACTGTTTTTTCATAGTTTTCATTAATTAATGCAAATATATTGTGACAAAAAAGTTTGAATTAATTCCTCTATTTCCAAACTAGCTATTGTTGCATAAAGGCATTTATATGTTATAATTTACTCTGTAAATTAGTATTTTTCAGTATCTTTTATTTATGCTTGAATCTTAAATTCAAGTGAAATCAAAAAGATGAATGCCCATTAACTTATCAATGGTTGTTACATTAATTACTATTTTTTCTTTCATGTTTAAAAATTACACAGTAACATAATAGTTAGAGACTGAATTTACCTGCCATTTCAATTAATATTGTTATGTTTGTCAAACTGTGGCTACTACTGACAACATTAAAGCCAAATGTATCTTAAGAAAAAGACTTCTTTTGGAATTCATAGAGGCCTTCATTATTTACCTCTATTAGCTTTTTTTTAAAGTGGGACATATACTAAAATAAATGGAAAACTAATCTGAAATTTCAATGTATGAATGACAATCTTACCTCACTTAACATTTTATTAAAAATAATTAATACTGCCAGGAATGTACTAATTATGCTCTAGTAGTTCTTGTCATTTTTAATATTACAAGGTGGGCTTGAATTCAGCTTGGTGAATTATTAGACATATCCATGAGTGGATTCAACACTGTGAAATGATTTTCTACTACATTCTTTCAGGACCTCCCAGTAGAGCATGTTAGCATTTCTGGTAATCTGCTATTTCCTAACTTGATAAGATCAACCAGATTCTGTCATCTGCTGTAGTTTATATTATCACAAGATTGAACCCTCTGTTTATCTTTCTGTTGATTCAGTTGACATAACATAATTAATCATAGGTAAGTTAAAAAATCTCTTTGTTGTATTTATATAATTAAACTTGGTTACAGCTTGGGTACGGGTTGGTGACTTTAAATCAGTTGGTTACTCCTAGCGATTCCTTGGACTAATCCCTACAGTTTTCTAGATAAAATGTTAGAAGTGGTGTGGTTTGCCATTGCTTATTTTGTTTTTAACCTTAGTTATTTTATATAGCACAAACTAAGCTGTTTTATTAAAAATGCAGTGTATTATGAGTACACAGAAAAAGTTGATTTGGAATTAAGGTAAGCACGTTGTATGTACCGTATTGTTGAGAAATAGAAGGGAAAATTTGAAAAATGGTGAAATAAAATGAAACAATAGGATTTTTTTCCCTTGCTATTTGCATTTCAAGTTTTCCAGCCATATTTGCTTACTATAGCCTCATGTTACAAAGCATTTGAGATATAACATGGTTTGATTCTGTCAGAAATATCAAGCTATAATTCTAAATAAAATGTTTTTTTTTAATGAAGTTTATTTTTTATCTTTGGATTTGTGCAAGCATATGGGTAATCTAAGCATTAGGTATTGTTATGTTAATACATGCACAAAGAATAGCAATGTGAAGTTAATATATGTACAAAGGGAATAATCATAATTTGTTTAGCATTTTACATTTTTCAAATAATTTCACTGTAGTGTACATATTACATATAAAAAATTGGGTGATGGTTAAATATCTTGTTGGGAAAGGCCTAATTTGGTGATGAAATATTGGAAATAATAACCAAAGAATTATCCTTATCTAGACTTATTAAAGAGATTCTTCCATTTGTTAATGTATCGCAATTGCTAATACAAGCAGTACATGATTGTGTTAATTGCTTCTATGAGGAATTCCAACTATAATATTTCAAATTCTGGATGAGATGAAAATTGCACTGATGTGTACCTTAAGCTGGGGAAAGAAAAATAAACAATCCTTTCTGAAGGAATATCTGATTAAAGAAAGATACAATGTTTGAAACGTATGCTAATATTGTTCTTAAATTGTTTTTTAAAAGTTTGTGCATTTTGATTGCATTGATTTGGTCCATACTGATTTTTTAGTATATTGATACTATAAATAGCACCCTTTCTTGTGTATTTTTCTTCAGTTTCTCTTATGTTGAAATATAACTGTAGGCTGCATACCAATGCCTGTATTGAATGCAAGGGCCTTTCTTCAGTGTAAATATGCATCAGGTTGGATTGATAATGATATGCTGCTTTTGAAGATATATTAATGTAGAACAGGTTTTCTATTTTTCTGAAACTTGTGCATAGCATAGCAAGCAAATTGTTCATACTGGGCAGGGTGAACAAGTAAATATCTAGAAGTTCCAGTTCAAGAGATTACACCATTCTAAGCAGAAATATTATATTAAAAAGCTATTGGGCTCAAATTGCAAACTTCAGGAGATAAAATGACACAAGAACTGGGAAAATATTTTGTTTACCTCATCTTGTATAATATAAAATGGAAACCAAACCCCCTCCCCCTGTCTTTAATGATTCACATTTGTCTATTTAGATTTAATTAACAGCAATCCGATAATGAGTGATAGAATTGGGGATTAACATCTGAAATACTGAAGTTACTGGTCACCGTGAGTTGAGGTGTTATCAGCTCTACAGCTCTACATATGGCTATCTGAATGATGCTGTCTCTGCCCCCTCATGATCCCTGGAGGCTGTAGGTATCTGAATAAGGGACCAGACTTAGATGAATCCTGGCAATACTGGGTGCATCAAGCATCAGGATTTGAGTTGTCATCCCTAGTTGGACAGGTCTGTACTATCCCCAATTGGACAGGGTTGCACGATCCCATGAAGACCCAGTTCGCAACCTAGTGGTTCTCCTGGACTCACATCTGTTGCTCAAAGTGCAGATGGCAGGCATGACTAGGAGAGCTTATACACAACTCTGGTTTGTGCACAAGTCCTGACCATTCCTGGATCATGACTTCCTGCACTGATTTACTTAAGTCCTGTTTATCTCACCTGGATTGTTGCAATGCGCTCCACATGGGGCTACCCTTGAAGTTCAGTCAGAAGTTTCAGCTTGTGTAAAGTGCAGAAGTGAAAGTAGTCTTTGACACCCTCTAGGATGGCCCATATTACACCTCTGTTTAACGAACTTTACTGGCTATGGGTCTTCTGAGTGTAGTTCAAGGTGTTGATTATGACCTTTAAATCCCTTAATGACATAGGCTACCTGATGAAACTCCTCATACTGTCAGGACAAGCCCATCCTCGTGCCAACAGAAAGGCCCTACTTTGGATGCCATTAGTCAAAGAACTCAAGGAGAGCTTTCTCTGTTGCTGTGTCTGCCCTTTGGAACATCTTACCTTCTAAAGTAAGGTCTGCCCCTACCCTCCTACACTTCTGCAAGAGCTGAAGATCTGACCACCAGTTGCCTGGCAACCAAACGGAATTCCACACCGGTGATGGCTGCAGGATTGATGGAAAACTCCACCTTCCGTCCTTGTTCTTTGCTCTTCACCCATCCATCTTTTTGGTTATCATATTGATGTATTCCCATTCCTTTTTCATTGTTTATTTTATTATATTTTACTTCTGTTTATACTCCTTTCATTTTCTTTTTATTATTGTAAGCTGCCTAGAGTAACCCCATGGCAAAATAGGCACCAAATGAATTAAACAAATAAAATAAACTTAGATAAAGTCTAACCTGTGTAATCTGGTCATTAACAGCATTGGGAAATCTTAATTCCACCACTACAAATGCACAGTAAAAATCAAGGATTTTACTGTTCATTTTTGGATCACTTATGAATCTATATGAGCCAAAGAATAGAATAGAATTCTTTATTGGCCAAGTGTGATTGGAAGGAATTTGTCTTGGTGCATATGCTCTCAATGTACATAAAAATAAAAGAGTCAAGAGTCAAGAATCATAAGGTACAACACTTAATAATAGTCATAGGGTACAATAAGCAATCAAATCATATTAGGAAATAGTCTATAAATCGTAAGGATACAAGCGACCAAGTTACAGTCATACAGTCACAAATGGGAAGGGATGGGTGATAAGTGATGAGAAGATTATTAGTAATAGTAATGCTGACTTTGTAAATAGTTGGACAGTGTTGAGATAATTATTTGTTTAGCAGACTGATGGCATGAAAAAACTTGTGTCTAGTTCTGATGTGCAATTCTATAGTGTCATTTTGAGGGTTGGAATTTACATACAATTTAGTTAATATAATTTACCCATAAGTACATACTTTTGCACCATGAATATCAATTGGAAATAAGTCATTGAACTCTGTGTTAGGCTCAATCCTACATAACAAGTCAATGAGAACACAATGTCTATAGACTTTATTTATATCCTGCTTTTACTCAAAGCGGTGTACCCAGATCCCTCCTTATTTTGTTCCAGCTGTAGCAATTCTTTGAAATAGGGCTGAAAGTGACTGGAATTGGGCAAAACAGTCATTCAATGTGCTAAGTGGTCAAATAGACATTTGTGCCAGTTTCTCCCTGATTTAAGACAATTACAATGCAGTAGCTCTGTATTCACTGAATTGCCCTGGAATGAGTGGATAGCTACATTGCTACCATTAACTCCTATTGAAGGCTAAAGTTATCCAGAAGAATGATGAAGTGCTTTTAGTATGACATAAACCAGGGGTGTCAAACTCAAATTCATCGGGGGCCGCATCAGCAGTTTGGTCCCCATCAAAGGGCCGGTTGTATCTGTAGGTCTATGTGTCCACTCTTTATTATCATAAATTAATGTCACTGCATTCAATTATTACTGTTTTTTGCCATGTGCCCCCTTTTAAAGTGCCCAGCCATGTGCCCCCTTTTAAAGTGCCCAGCCATCTGCCCCCTTTTATAGTGCCCAGCCATCTGCCCCCTTTTATAGTGCCCAGCCATCTGCCCCCTCCATTTACTTTACTTACCTTTTACTTCTTTCTTTCTTTTACTTCTTTCTTCTTGCTCCTCTCCGCGGCGTCCGCGCGCTCCTCTGATCCCTGGAGATGTCGGGCGGACGTCACGTGATGACGTCACGTCCGACACCCAGGGAGCAGTGCGGGGCAGGAAGAAGTCGGGCCAGGTCCCGGAAGGTAAGTAATTTTTTTTTTTTTTTTAACTTGAGCCATTTTTAAAATGAATTTACTCCGTGCAGGCACGGAGTAAATTCATTGAAAAAAAAAAGGGGGAGGCTGCAAGGCTGGCGGCGGCACCGCGGGCCATCAGATGAGGTCTGGCGGGGCGGATTTGGCCCGCGGGCCTTGTGTTTGACACCCCTGACATAAACTGTTACTGTGGAACAGGAATATCAGCTTAAGAAGGAAATATATGAGGGCAGAAGGAGAAGAGAGATTGTAGACATATTTCATGTTAACATGAAGTTTTCATTTTAATCAATACAGTTTTGCTGAGCCATCATGAAATGACTACTATTAAACACCCAAAGTTACTATGTGGGCTTTAAGGTAGATTATCAGTTTATTTGGGGGAGAAAAGATGGAACTTCTTGCAGGAGCACTACCTTTATCCTCAAAATAAGCAAATACATCATGAATTTTACTGTCATGGATTATTTAGCTAATAAGTCTTCAGAGAGAATAGAGATGCGGGAGACAAGTGATGGAAGATGACAGACATGCTATATTTGCATCACAGAATGTCAGAAACGTAGCTTCCTTTCCAACTAGCTTGAAGGAACGTAGTTGGAAAGGAAGCTACCGTATATTT